CGCCAAGGAGCGGCCCGCGCACCCGCCCGGCCGCCCCGGCTCCTCCTAGCAGAAGCCGGCGCCGGGGACTGGCCACCGCTGGGGACACGCTGCTGGGACACTGCAGGAGGCCACAGCCTCCACACGTAGGTAGATGACAGGTGGACGCTTTCTAAAGATCTAAGAAAGAATGTACACCTGTCTGCTTCCAGTAGAGGCAGAAGCTGTTTTTATATTGGCAATTTTGAGCAATTCCATTAAAACGTTTCTTTGACATAAACGTGGTCTCCACTTCCTGCCACAGTTAGGAAGCTCAGGTACACTCTTAGCTGGCGCTGTGGCCTGCGTCCTGGAAGCCTGCGTGTCCCCCAGCTGGCTTTACTGCAGAGTCACGTCTGGACGTGACCTGCCCCGCCCCGCATCCTGCCAGCCCCCCAGCTGCCCCGGGAATAGGAAGGAAGCACTGGGGGCTGCACACGCGTCCCAGAGGTCAGTCTCGGTTTTCCGTGTGAGTGTGCCAGTGCTGCACGGACACAGCTGCATGTTTCTTCCCAGTTCTGAAAGTCGGGGTGGGGGAGCAGTTTGTGGCTAAGGGGCGGCAGGATGACCCGAGAGGTAGAATGGGGTGTCTTTGCCAATCCTGAGCAAGAACGCAAGCCTGGGCTTAGTTTTAAGGACTTCCAGAAGTAGCCACAGATTGCAGGCCACCTCAGTTCCCAGAGTGGCCTAGGCCACTGCTTGCCCACGTGGCCATGCGAGCCTGGAAATCTGTCCCTGAACAGTGATCTGTAAAAGTGAGGTCTCTTTAAGTCTTTGAAACAATCGGTGAAGCTTTGCTGCTTTTGTGCCTCTGTCTGGATGTGGCTCTGCTGGGCCGAGTTTTTAGAGCCAACAGTATGTCGATTAAGAACCTCACGTTACCTTAACCTTACGGTGAGAGTTTAAGCTTTGACGTGGTTTTCGAAGGCTCGGCTGGTCGTGGAGTCCTCCTCCCCGGCTGGGACGTGCCCGTCCTGAGTGGCTTCACACCCAGGCTCCACTGCCGGAGGAGTGTGCTGCCACCATCCTTGTGTGGTTTGGCGGAGGCGCCGTTGACCAGCTGTGCGTGAAGAGCTGAGACACCCAGGGTCTCTGAGCAAGTGCTCAATTGAGAGTGGTAGCTGTGGAGAGTTTGGGAAATTCTACTTCTCTGTTCAGCCTCTTAAAATAGGTGTCCCCAGTGGTGGCCAGTCTGGGACAGACACAGAAGGCTCAGAGCAGCCTTTCGTTCTGGTTCAGAGCAGCAGCCATAAAGAGGCCACAAGAGGCCACAAGTTAGAAAGGAAACTTGCCTTTCGCAGCAGTGAAGGCCATGGGTGGTGGTTCGGCCACATTAAGTGCCACGTGGCACTCCAGCCACGCTAGTGTAGATGGTCTGCGTCAGCGGGGGCCGAGCCTGCAGGGAGCGCTGTCCCCTCCGAGACCGAGAAAGGCAGCCTTCTCAGGGCCTCTCCCCGAATGGCACACCCATCTGTGTGACACCTGTGTGAGTGAGCACTCGCCCGTCCCAGGCTCGAGCTCCCGCAGCCAGCCATGGGCACTGGGCGTGCTCGGGCCACCGCCGGCCTCAGCCGCTGGCCCCGGGCCGGTCCACTCCCTACCAAATGGGCAGCGCCTCAGCCTCGCAGACGCCGTGAGCCCTGGACGCCCAGTGCGGTACCCGGGATTTGGCCACGCCGCCCCAGTGAACCATGGGTGATGCTGGAAGCTGTAGTTCGAGGAGATCCGTCGCCGAGTGCTGTGCTCCTGGGTATCAAGGTGAGTCTAAACCAAGCCCCGGCGGCGGAGAGATGAGGGTAGTGACCAGTGTGTAGGCGCGGCTGGCCACAGCGAGCTGGTCTGCTGCTGCTCCGAGGTGGCGGGGGAGTCCTCAGCTACAGGAACACGCCCCAGGGGCACTGCAGCGGGGGCCTGTCCTGTCGCCAGGCGTCACGGAGCAGCAGTTCACTGCCGGGTCCTCCCAAGTGCCAGGGGCCGCGTTCCGTTCGGCAGCTCACCCCTGTGCAGCCCTCCACGGGCAGGTGCCTCGCGCTGGTTGTCAAAGATGCTCCATGACCGGCTGCCCGCCTTTCTGCTGCGCATCCTCTGGGAATGGCGATCCCGAGACACGCGCACGTGTCAACAGCAGCATCCAGGGCCCAGAGCCCAAACCTGGGCCGCCGCGTCCCCGAGGCGAGGGGCAGGTGGCGAGCTTTGTGACTGGTCCCGCGGGCCGGGGGGAGGGCGGACAGGACCAGCACCACCCCATCTGAGCCAGCTTTTGCGTCACAGCCCCACCCACACACGCAGCTAAGTAGTGACACGGGGACCTCTGCCACCGTCCATTCCCTGTCCACTCACACGGTTATCCTGTCTCAGCGCAGATCCTCTGTGAGGAGAGACTGACAAGGACGTCTGTTACGTCACCTTTGGTTCCACGGTGAGATGCAGTCACCTCCGGACAACTCGGTAAGCCTGTCGTCTCCGAGCTGGTGGCCGTGTGCACCCTACCTGTCGCAAGCGACGCAGACAGGGGTCCCCACAGCCCCCCAGCAGCTGCACACTGTCCATGGCCTTGCTGAGCCACGTTGGGCCCAGAGCACGAGAACACGGTGGCTGCTCGTGAGACAAACGTATCCACGCAGGCCTGCTGCACCTTCCCTCCCTGCCAGGGGAGGTCAGGTCTCCCCACCCCGAGGGCTGGGCTTGCAGAGCTAGCACCCCCTTGCTGCCAGGCCGCCGCACTCCCGAGTCCTAAGTCACACGCCGGGCAACCTGTTACTCAGATGTTTAGCAGTGTTAATGTAGGGGTTACTTTTCAAAGAACGTTTATTGAATACTCAACGTGCCAGATGCCGGCGCACAGGTAAAATGCAAACATCTCGTAAAAGTGCCGAGTGACCTTTACACAACGTGACATTCCCCAGGAACGATGACCAGGGCCTGAGAGAGACGGGCGGGAGTGGGCCCCGCACCCGGCCTGGCACCCACCAGCAACGCTGACGGCGTCTGCTCCCTGTGCGCGCGCACGTGGGCTCTGTGTGGTGACAGCCAGCACACGGACTCCAAGCTTCGGCCTCAGGGCCTGGTTCCCCCCACACCCTGTACTGTGCACCAGCAACGCTGACGGCGTCTGCTCCCTGTGCGTGCATGTGGGCTCTGTGTGGTGACAGCCAGCACACAGACTCCAAGCTTCAGCCTCAGGGCCTGGTTCCCCCCACACCCTGTACTGTGTGCACTGTGGCCGGTCAGTGTCAGGGGAAATACAGCTGATTGGAGGTGACACGTGTGACTTTGTTTTGTTAGCCAAAGCAAGTCACATGGGATGGGGACGTGTAATCTTTTCAAGGTTTTGTTTTAAAATTATAGATTCACAGGAAATTACAAAAACACTACAGAGATCTTGTGTACCCCTCGCTCAGTCCCCCAATGGTGACAGCTCAGGTAACGACGACACTGCAACCGGGCCCCTGCCCAAGGCCTTGCTCAGGTCACCAAGTCTACACGCGTCGGTGCGTGGTTAGCTTTGTGTAATGCTGTCACGTGTACGCTTGTCACTGGACCGTCTCATTCAGAGCCAGCCCAGCACTACATAGACCCCCCGCCCCGTCCTAGCCTTCGCCAACCACTGACCTGTCCCTTGTCCAAGAATGCGCTCATGTAAATGGAGCATCAGCGTGTGGCCTCAGACCCGTGTCCATCCACCTTGCAGGTGTCAGCGGTCGTCTCTGCACTGCTGACGTGGAGCAGGCAGGCGTCTTCTGGAGAACACTGGAGGCCGGTCACTCACATCCCCTTGCTCTGCTGCATCTGGTTTTGCACATGGCACCTTCGTCTCAGGCAGCCTGGAGCCTGGGTGACGACGCCTGGGCTGCATCCCTGCCGTCCCTCCAGCTCCCCAAGCCAGTCGCGTGTCCTGCAGAGAAGTGACCCTCTGGGACAGTGGCGGGCAGACTCGGAAGTCACCCATTTCAGGGGCATAGGACTGGGGACAGAGGCCAAGGTTCTGTCAGTTGGGCGCTGGCCAGGCCACCAAGCTGTCCATGGGCCCACTGCACCTGTGGTGAGGGCAGTGTCAGGGCCGGGACGTCTGCCCGCTGCACCCCCACTCCAGCGGCGGGAGCCCCAAGGTCTGCCGCCTGGGTGTGGACCCCAGGCAGCTGGGCTGTCACTCAGGGCCCTTCCCCACACTTACGCCACCTGCCCTCAGTCCTCGCGGTCCAGCCCGGACTCGTAGTTGACGTAACAGCGGAACTCGTTGGCGAGGGCGCGGGCGTGTCTCGGGACGAACCTGCAGGCCTTCACGCCCAGCAGCCGCGCGGCCGCCTCTGCCATGACGGCGCCTGGGGAGCAGACGCGGCTCAGGTGCACGGCCATGGACCACCTCATGCCCCGTCCCTCCCCACCGGTCCCCTCCCCGCACTCGCCAACGCCCACACCTTCCTTTCCTGTCTCTCTGATTTCTCTGCCTCTGCAAAGCTGAGAAACGCACCACGGAGAAAATTACAATCATTAAAACTGCTTTTCTGATTCTGAGTGAGAACGCTTTCTAGCGACGTCCAGTCCTGCAAACCCGGAGGCCGTGTCCCAGCAGCCTCTGGCTGACAACTCCATTATCCCCTCTGCCCATGTCCCTCCCTGCCCCGCCACCCCCCCACCCGACCCCTGGCGCCGGGTCCAGCACAGCCCTTGCTG